AGTTGGGGCTAGTTGGGGACATTTTGGGGCCATTTGGAGCCATTTGGGGTCATTTGGGGTCATTTGGGGTCATTTTGGGGACATTTGGGGCCATTTGGGGCCATTTGGGGTCATTTGGGGTCATTTTGGGGCCATTTGGGGCCATTTGGGGTCATTTGGGGTCATTTGGGGTCATTTTGGGGCCATTTGGGGCCATTTGGGGCCATTTGGGGTAATTTGGGGACATTTGGGGCCATTTGGGGCCATTTGGGGCCATTTGGGGCCATTTGGAGACATTTGGGGACATTTGGGGACATTTGGGGTCACTTTGGGTCATTTTGGGGACATTTTGGGTCATTTTGGGGCCATTTTGGGTGATTTTGGGTGATTTTGGGTTAATTTTGGCCGTTCTGGGGTCACTCACAGCAGGGTCAGGGCCGGAAGGTGCCGGAAGCTCCCCTCGAGCAGGGCCTCGATGTCCCAGCGGATCAGGGAGCTGGATTGGGGTGAAAAAACGGGAATTTGGGAAAAATCGGGAAAACTGGGGGAAATCCGGGAAAATCCCGCGGGAAATCGGGAATGAGAGGGGGAAAATCGGGGAAAAACGGGGAAATTTGGGAAAAATCAGGGAAAAATTGAGGGGAATTGGGTAAAAAGAAGGAAAAATTGGGAAAATTTGGGGAAAAATTGGGGGAAAAATTGGGGGAAAATTGGGAAAAATGGGAAATTTGTGGGGAATTATGGGAATAAATTGGGGGAAAATTGGGAAAAATTGGGAAAATTTGGGGGGAAAATGAGGAAAATTGGAATAAAATGGGAATAAAATGGGAAATTTGTGGGAATAAATTGGGGGAAAATTGGGAAAAATTGAGAAAATTTGGGAAAATTTAGAATAAAATGGGAAATTTGTGGGAAATGATGGGAATAAATTGAGGGAAAACTGGGAAAAATGGGGAAAATTTGGAATAAAATGGGAAATTATGGGAATAAAATGGGGAAAATTGGGAAACTTTGGGGGAAAATGGGGGAAAATGGGGAAAATTGGGATAAAATGGGAATAAAATGGGAAATGATGGGAATAAATTGAGGGAAATTTGGGAAAAATTGGGAAAATCTGGTGGGAAAAATGGGAAAAATGGGAAAAAATTGGGATAAAATGGGAATAAAATGGGAAATTTGTGGGAAATTATGGGAATAAAGTGGGGGAAAAATGGGAAAAATTGGGAAACTTTGGGGAAAAATTGGGAAAAATGGGGAAAATTGGGAATTAAATGGGAAATGATGGGAATAAATTGGGGAAAATTGGGAAAAACTGGGAAGCTTTTGGGGAAATTGGGGAAACTGGGAAATTTGGAATAAAATGGGGATAAAATGGGAATAAAATGGGAAATTTGTGGGAAATTATGGGAATAAATTGGGAAAAATTGGGAAAAATTGGGAAAATTGGGAAACTGGCGGAAAAGGGGGAAAATGGGGAAAATTGGGATAAAATGGGAAATGATGGGAATAAAATGGGAATAAAATGGGAATAAAATGGGAACAAATGGGAGGAAAATGGGGAAAAACTGGGAAAATTTGGGGGAAAATGGGGAAAATGGAAAATTTGGAATAAAATGGGAATAAAATGGGAATAAAATGGGAATAAATTAAGGGAAAATTGGGAAAACTTGGGAAATTTGGGGGGAAAAGTGGGAAAATGGGGAAATTGGGATAAAATGGGAATAAAGTGGGAAATGATGGGAATAAATTGGGGGAAAATTGAGGGAAAATTGGGAAATTTTGGGGGAAAAAGGGGAAAAATGGGGAAAATTTGGAATGAAATTGGAATAAAGTGGGAAATGATGGGAATAAATTGGGGGAAAAGGGGAAAATGGGGAAAATTTGGAATAAAATGGGAAATTATGGGGAAAATTGGGAAAAAATTGGGAAAATTGGGGGAAAATTGGGAAAATTTGGTAAAATTTGGAATAAAATGGGAATAAATTGGGGGAAAATCGGGAAAAATTGGGAAACTTTGGGGAAAAATTGGGAAAAATGGGGAAAATTGGGAATTAAATGGGAAATTATGGGAAATGATGGGAATAAAATGGGAAATGATGGGAATAAATTGGGGAAAATTGGGAAAATGAGGGAAATTTGGGGGAAAATTTGGGAAAAATGGGGAAAATTTGGAATAAAATGGGAAATAATGGGAATAAAATGGGAAATTTGTGGGAAATGATGGGAATAAATTGGGGAAAATTGAGGGAAAATTGGGAAAAATGGGGGAATTGGGGAAAAATGGGAAAATTGGGATAAAATGGGAAATTTGGGGGGAAAAGGGGGAATATAGGGAAAATTTGGGATAAAATGGGAATAAAATGGGAAATTTGTGGGAAATGATGGGAATAAAGTGGGGAAAATTGAGGGAAAATTGGGAAAAATGGTAATAAAATGGGAATAAAATGGGAAATGATGGGAATAAATTGAGGGAAATTTGGGAAAAATTGGGAAAATCTGGTAGGAATTGGGAAAAATGGGAAAAAATTGGGATAAAATGGGAACAAACGGGGGAAAACTGGGAAAAACTGGGAAACTTTGGGGGAATTGGGAAAAAAGGGGGAAATTTGGAATAAAATGGGAATAAAATGGGAAATGATGGGAATAAATTGGGGGGAAAATGGGAAAAATTGGGAAACTTTGGGGGGAAAAGGGGGAAAACTTGGGAAATTTTGGGGGAAAATTGGGAAAATTTGGAATAAAAAGGGAATAAAAAAGGAATAAAATTGGAAATTAAGGGAATAAAATGGAGGTAAATTGGGAAACTTTGGGGGGAAATTGGGAAAAATGGGGAAATTGGGATAAAATGGGGAAATTATGGGAATAAAATGGGGGGAAATTGGGAAAAATTGGGAAAATTGGGGGAAAATTGGGAAAAATTGGGAAAACTGGGGGAAACGGGGAAGTGGGAAGGACTGGGATGGGGAATGGGGGGAACTGGGAGCAAACTGGGCTGAACTGGGATGGAACTGGGCACTCACAGCGTGGCCAGGCGGGGGGGGAGCCCCCGGGGGACGCCCCCTCCCCCACCCCGGCACCAGGCGCTGTCGCGGTCGCAGTCGCAGCCCCCGGGACAGGCCCCGCCCCCCCTGGGGACCCCCCCAAAAACCGGGACCCCCCCGAAAACCGCCCGGAACCCCCCCAGAAGGAGCAGGGTCCAAAAGTGGCCCGAAATCTTCAATTTGGGGCTCCGCATCTTGGGAAAAAGAAAAAAAAATCAGACAAAATCGGCTCCAAAAAAAACCCCCAAAAATCCCCAAAAATCCCCTCAAAAAAACCCCAAAACCCCCTAAAATCCCCTCAAAAAAAACCCAAAACCCCCCAAAATCCCCTCAAAAAATCCCCAAAAATCCCCTCAAAAAAACCCCAAAACCCCCCAAAATCCCCTCAAAAAAACCCAAAAATCCCCAAAAATCCCCTCAAAAAAACCCCAAAACCCCCTAAAATCCCCTCAAAAAAACCCCAAAACCCCCCAAAATCCCCTCAAAAAATCCCCAAAAATCCCCTCAAAAAAACCCCAAAACCCCCCAAAATCCCCTCAAAAAAACCCAAAAATCCCCAAAATCCCCTCAAAAAAACCCCAAAACCCCCTAAAATCCCCTCAAAAAAACCCCAAAAATCCACTCAAAAAAAACCCCAAAAATGCCCCAAAATCCCCTCAAAAAAACCCCAAAAAATCCCTCAAAAAAACCCAAAAAATACCCTCAAAAAAACTCCCACAACCCCAAAAATCCCCTAAAAAAAACCCAAAAATCCCTCAAAAAACCCCCAAAAATCCCCCCAAAAAACCTCAAAAATCCCCAAAAGTCCCCTCAAAAAAACAAAAAAAATCCCCTCAAAAAAACCCCAAAAATCCCTCAAAAAAAAAACCCAGAAAAACCCCCCAAATCCCCCCAAAGCCTCCCAAAAAAAAACCCCAAAATCTCCTCAAAAAAAAAACCCCAAAAATCAAAAAAATCCCCTCAAAAAAACCCCCAAAATCCCTCAAAAAAACCCCAAAAATGCCTCAAAATCCCCTCAAAAAAAACCCCAAAAATGCCTCAAAATCCTCTAAAAAAAACCCAAAAATGCCCAAAAATCCCCTCAAAAAAACCCCAAAAATGCCCTCAAAAAAACCCCAAAAATCCCTCAAAAAAAACCCAAAAATGCCCTCAAAAAAACCCCAAAAATGCCTCAAATTCCCCTCAAAAAAAACCCCAAAATCCCCAAAAATCTCCTCAAAAAACCCCCAAAATCCCCTCAAAAAAAAGCCAAAAATGCCCCAAAATCCCCTCAAAAAAACCCCAAAAATCCCTCAAAAAAAAACCCCAGAAAAACCCCCCAAAATCCCCTCAAAAAAAAGCCAAAAATGCCCCAAAATCCCCTCAAAAAAACCCCAAAAATCCCTCAAAAAAAAACCCCAGAAAAACCCCCCAAAATCCCCTCAAAAAAACTGAAAAATTGGCCAAAATCCCCTCCAAAAAAACAAAAAAAATCCCTCAAAATCTGCTCAAAAAACCCCAAAAATCCCCTCAAAAAAACCCCCAAAAATCAAAAAAATCCCCTCAAAAAACCATCAAAAATCCCCCAAAATCCCCTCAAAACCCCGCCAGAAAAACCCAAAAAAATCCCAATATCCGCCCAAAAAAAACCCCAAAATTCCTCAAAACCCCCTCAAAAAACGCCCCAAAAATCCTCTCAAAACACCCCAAAAATCCCCTAAAATCCCCTCAAAAAAACCCCAAAATAATCCCCTAAAATCACCTCAAAAAACCCCAAAATCCCCCAAAAATCCCCTAAAATTCCCCCTAAAAAACGAAAAAATCCCTCAAAATGCCCTCCAAAAAACCCCAAAAAAACCCCAAAAAGCTGCTAAAATCCCCTCAAAAAAAACCCTAAAAACCAAAAAAATCCCCTAAAATCCCCTCAAAAAAACCCCAAAAAACCCCAAAATCCCCTCAAAAAAAACCCCAAAAAAACCCAAAATCCCCTCAAAAAAACCCCCAAAAAACCCCAAAATCCCCCCAAAAAACCCCCCAAAAAATCCCAAAATCCCCTCAAAAAATCCC